TTAAATACTAATTTCAAATAAATTATTTTTGACTCAGAAAAAATACTAATTAAATAAGGGTTGGTTGTATTTTTTTTTTTTTACAGTAAGACAGAGTTTACAGTCATAAAACTGTGATATTGGACATTTATAAGAAGATGAAGAAAGGTTAATGGAAAAAAAATTAAAGTGCAGCCTAGTGATAGTGAAGCATAGTTTTGCCAGGAATCCTTATTATAAATTATTACCACTTTTACAGTTTTGTCTTTCTTTGGGAAAAAAAAATCTCCAAGTAAAACATTAAAGAAACTAAGAATTTTGTCTGGTAAGAGATGAATTGTCTCCAGATTAAAGACCACAAGCTAAGCAGACAGGCTCAGTGCCAAGAAGTGAAATGTTAAAATTCAGACTCTCATATGTCGATTTGACTCTCTTGCCCAAACTTTGTAGCACAGCTACAGAGACTGTCCTCAAAGAAATGTCACTCTTATATATAAGAACACCATTAAATATATCTTATTCAGTTGAATCACAAGAATACGTGTGTTTGTACACAGGAAAAAAATTTTCTTTACTTATCTTTTCAGCATCAAACACTGAAACAATTTTAATTGGTTTGAAGACTCAAGGGTAAGGAAGAGAGTGTTGAATAAGCTAGGGAGAAGTACAATTTTAAAACCCTATGTATCAGAAAGTATTAGTTTAAGTATTTAATTTTCTTTTTAACTTCTAAAAACAATTCTGGAAAATAAAATTTAAATTTCATTGTCCTTAAAAAGATATTAGTTATATAGAGTTGAGGTTTAGGAATGAATGTATTATATTAGATAAACTTTCCATATAATCCCTTTCCTGTATCAATTCATCTATCAAGTTTTTTCAAAGAAACTTCAAATATACTGACAGCTACAACATTTGATCAATGGCTTTGTGACAGAGCTATAAATATCTGCATAATGAGAGGGAGAAGGAAGAGACTATTTGCAGAAACCAGGGATTACGGCACATCTGCTATCACCTACAATGTCAGTATTCATACAGTAAAGTGGATGATGACAAAAACCATACACCTGGGGGGAATACATTACTTGAAGCTAGCATAAGTGGTGTAAATGCTTCATTACCATGGAAATGGTGCACAGTACATGACAACATAGAAAATCGGTTTGAGACAGGTCATTTTAATTTTTATTGATAATATGATCACAGGTGTGCTTGTAATAATTTCACCACTTCAGATTTCTCATCAACTGTCACTAATAATTTCATATGACAAGCACAGTGGCCTTGTGATATTACAAATACAACCTAGATTTGCTTACAATGCCTGCTGACTGGCAAGCTACTGTATTGTCAGGGCACAACTCCATAAAGTCTATTTGTTTTGTAAACTAGAGGTCCTTCAAACCCTCCATGACACCCATCACATTTGCATTTTTTTGCAAAGTATGGCTGATGTAATCAAGGTAGGCAAAAGTTTTGAGAGTATACTCCCAAAGAAACAATGCCTTCTGGGTGAAGACGAGATGGAAAAGAAGCAGGACAGGATTCATATGTATGAAAGATATAGGATCAAAAAGCTCAGATAATTTAGGGATATATCATTAAACTGAAAACCAGGACAGTCCTACTCCATAAGGCTTCCTGGCCTCCAGAACTGTTGTACTTCAAGTTTCAAAAAATCTTAATTAAATCTGTTGTACTGCATGTCACAGTTTAGCTTTAACACTGTAATGTCTGAAGTGTAGTTGGAGCCAAGTGTGTATGATTCGGGAAGAAGTAATTACAACAGTAAATAAATACTGTATTGTAAGAACACAAGCAAAAAATACTGGAATTGCAAAAGCAGTGCTTACTCAGTTTCACATCATATTTAGATAATAAATAATACCTATGCACTCATAATGCTTTTAATCGGAAGCTTCACGTATCCTTTCTTTGCCCTGTAAACTTAGACAAGTTCTAGAATGAGTTCTACAAAACACAAGTAGCGTGAAAGTGTTACAGTGTTATAATTTTTTTTCCCCAAAATTCATGTGAGCATTAAGATATATATGGAGTTTTTGAAATGACACACTACAGGCAAAGTTAAAATGTGAATTTTGAGTCAAATGATAAGATCTATCAAACAAGCTATTCTACTGCAATATATATATAAAAATTCAGACCTCATAGAGTATTAAATTGCTTAGTTTAAGGTATATTTCTCACATTAAATTTTGAACCTTCATAATTAACTTCAAAAGGACTGAATAATTAAGAATAATATTGGACTACTCAGCCATATAGTGTTTTTTGCATTAATAGATTTTTTTTTCTTTCAACAAAAATTGAAGGAAAATGTTTTAAAGCAATTTTGTAAGAAAAAAAGGAAAGCAAGCAAAGGTAAGGGACTAATTTGGGGAATTTATCCAACTTTATCTGGTCTATGTTAACTAGCACTTCTTCAACAAATGACCATACAAAAAACACAATCAAAATTATATTCCCTTCAGAAAATATTGCCTTTTTGCAACTCTGTAGAGGTTAAGAACCTGGTTTAACATGCAGAAATGAATTTGACTTTTACAAGGGACTGACATACTAGAAGTTATTGATGACTTTATAAAACTGTTTCGGCATGTGAATTACAAGGAAAATTGCAAAAGAGCTCATTGAAGCCACCAAGGAATTTTTAATATGAGATGTAGGTCTTTTATGTGAGTGAGAATTAGAGTAAAATAACTAATATTCTATTTCACAGTAATAAATACAATGTTCTTTACTTTGGGAACGTCACACTGGTGCCACCATTAACCAGGAGTAAACTGTATCTTCTAGATACACTTTTTTCTAGTAGAAAGTGCTTTGATATGTTATTACCAATATATGAGTTCATCTCCGCTTTCCTTCATTCCCTTTATTGTTTTGCTTCATTTGTTTTGTAAATGCTTTTTGTTGTAAACGCATGTCATCTTCATGCTAACATAGTATGAATCTGATAATTAAATGTAACTGCCAGTGTAGTAATTTAAGAAATAAAAAAAAAGATCAGCTTTTTTAGTAGTTACAACTATCCCTCTGTAACCTACATTATGACATCTGAGATAACATGCTAATATAACTTTTCTTTTCTTAAAATATTTTACTTTAAGGTGACAGTTATAAAAATGGGAGCAGCAGGATTTAAACATTCCATTTCAAAATATTAAAATATTTTTGATGTGCTGAAAATTACTTACCATGAGAGAAGGACGAACAGAAGGAATCTGTTCTCTTCTGCTCCCTATTTGTCTAGCACAGGTGTCAATCAAAGTAAGAACACAGCAAATGGCAGGGATAAAATCTTGTCTTCTCTGAAGTAAATGGCAGTTCTCCCATTGACTTTAATGGCTCAGGGTTTTTCTAAAACTGTTTTTAAAATCACAGCTGCCAGAGTGTGAGAAACTGCTGAGGAGACTTCTTTCTCTCTGGTGTTAGATGAAAGTAGATTGGATGTACATGGTAGTCAGAGCAGAACACTGAACACTGCCGCTTCATGGCAAAGTTAATATGCTGCAGAGTGCAGAGCTCTTTGAACCAAAACCAATGTATAATTTGCTTCTTTCATTTGACATTGCCTCATAAATAAAAGATAAGAAGATGATGTATTATAGTTTGTAAATATTAGAGACAAATGATCGTTGCTGATTGCTAATAAACTACAATGAAAACTAATTCACACAAATCAAAATTTGTACTTCAGCAATAAATATCTAGGAGGGCACGGTACCTTAATAATAATTGCTATGCTGTTTCTTTGAATATTAATTTCTATTTGCATAGCTGTTTCCTAGAAACCAATGGCAAATTATTTCTTCAACAGGTGAAACAAATCAACCTGTCAAGAAGCTGCTTTTCTGCCATATTTTATGTTAAAAATGTTTCCAATTTTCCATGATAAATCACTTTACTTGACACATGCAAGACACTAAAAGTTAAATATATTATTATAAAATTTTTAAATAGGTATTACATCAACACTGAGAAACCCTGCCTTTTTCTTTTATAGTCATTGCTTTCAGAAAGCTATTTCTCCATTTTAGTAAGGTAGTTCCAGTGATAATGGTGTTAGAAATTCCATAGGATGGCATAGTTTCTGGCAGCTATGAAGGATAGATCCTCTGCAGTGAATTCTATTTTCAAAGCTGTCAAAGCAGGTTTTGCACACACATAATTATTACAGCCAATCCAAATTCTACAACAATTACAGCATTAGAATAAATGGGAACATGGCAGTGGCAGCACATCACCTAAGAATCCTCTGGCAGTACTAAGGCAAGTACAGTTGCTGTGCAGAGCTTTGTCTAAGCCTTTTAAAACAGTCTTCAAGATCTAGCTATGCAAGTAGCAAAAGATCAGCTTTCAGACTCCCTTTTGAATTCCAGACACAGTAGTTGTACATTTTGTGGCTGACTGGAGTTATCTGTGTTTACCAACATCTTTGGTGCATCAACAGATAGGACACAATACATGCACAACATTTTTCCTTTTCTCTGCTTGAAGAATTCTAGCTGATGAAATTCAAATCTAGATGGTTGCTATCTTTCTATTACCTTTTTAAAAAATTTACAAATCCCTGATTATCTTCCCTTTCTCAACTACAACAGTTCAATTTTTTCAGGACCTACCAGTCCTGTGCAGTTTACAATGGGTGACAAAACCTCCAGAGGCGTATATTCTGTTCTACTTATATTTGGAACTTCCTGTGTTCCCTGGAGTCTACCCTTCTAGGATGGTCAGCATGAATTAGGTTAAACCATAGAATACCAGGAATACACATGATTCAGTTTAAATGCTAGCAATTTTCCATGCTTAGATTAGCCTAAAAGTTAATATGACCTGTCACAATCAAGCCTATTAGGACTACATGCTTTTCCAAAATCTTGACTATTACACTGCAATAACAAGCAACTCCTTATTCACTCCCAACCAAGAGCACTGCAAAGGAACAAAGGTTCATTTGACATTTATAATAAATGCATGTCATAGCAAAAAATTACCTTGTATTCCCTGGCTTACTTGCAGACCAACAGAACCTGAAATGTAAGAAAAAAAGAAAAGTCTGCACAATTAGCCATTGGATACACACATACACATATATACCAATTATATTCTTTTACAACTAGTACTTGTGCTTTATGGTGGTGTAAACATTGGTATAAAAGCAATTGAACAGTTAGTATTTCCCTCTTCATGTCCTGAAAAACATGCACGAAGCATAGCAGGTAACAAGACAACTTTAAACATATATTGTCAGATTCAGTCCTAGGCTGGCAGTGGATGGTCTGCCTTTCTGAGAGCTGGTGAATGTTTTAGCAGTCAAACTGCTCTGGTTTTCATTGCATAAGACATTTGAGAATATCACTATGTAATCTAAATGTCTTAAGTACTTGCTCCTTCAAAAAGGGTAACAACAAAGAGCCATGTCTGTGAAGACTGTATATTTTGCTGGCCTAGAGAAGTCCTAATCACAAAAAAGAAACCCACTCTGCGCTGGTTCTTATATGAACACAGAAGGGGAAAATACTTGAAGATATTAAGAAACCAGAAAAGGCTACTTCTTCTACCCCAAACAGGTCATGTTCCACTTTCATGAAAATGGGCTTATTTTAATGTTTCTTGACTTAATTGTTTTTCATGTCAAACCATGTGCAAGTTCAATCTATGTATAAGAAATCAAACTTTCCAAAGTTCAAGCAAATATAATTATAATAAGAATTCTACACATAACATTCATAGAATCACAGAATCATAGAATAGTTAGGGTTGAAAAGGACCTTAAGACCATCTAGTTCCAACCCCCCTTCCATAAGCAGGGATGCCTCACTCTAGAGCATATTGCTTAAGGCCCTGTCCAACCTGGCTTGAACACTGCCAGGCATGGAGCATTTACCACTTCTTTGGGCACCTGTTCCAGTGCCTCACCACCCTCACAGTAAAGAAATTCCTTATATCTAAACGGAACTACCCTTGTTTAAGTTTAAACCCATTACCCCTTGTCCTACCACTACAGTCCCTGATGAAGAGTCCCTCTCCAGCATCCTTGCAGGCCCCCTTCAGATACTGGAAGGATGCTATGAGGTCTCCATGCAGCCTTCTACAGGCTGAACAGCCCCAAGATATTCAATACTTTGTATTCATATCAGGCCCTTCAAGAGGTCTATAGAACTTAGTTCCCACTTTTTAATTTTGATTACATCATTTGCATTAAGAACCAATAAAAAGTATTTTTCTGAGCCTGAAGTAGTAGCACCCAAGATAAAAGCCTTTCTTTACTGATGGAAATTTTGTTGGTACAACAAGACTCACGAGCGAAGGAATGCCATCCAGAGGGACATCGACATGCTTGTGAGGTGGGCTGATGCCAACCTTATGAAGTTTAACTGTAACAAGTGCACGTACACCTGGGTCAGAGCAATCCCAGACACAGCTACGGGTTGAGCAAAGAAAAGATTCAGAGCAGCCCTGCACAGAAGGACTTCGGGATCCTGGTCGATGAGAAAATGAGCATGAGCAGGCAGTGTGCGCTTGCAGCCAAGAAAGCCAACTGTATCCTGGGCTGCGTTAAAAGGAGCCTGACCAGCAGGACGAAGGAGGTGATTCTGCCTCTTTACTCTGCTCTTGTGAGACCTCACTTGGAGTATTGTGTGCAGTTCTGGTGTCCTCAACATAAAAAGGACATGGAACTGTTGGAACAAGCCCAGAGAAGGGCCACGAGGATGATCAGGGGAGTGGAGCACCTCCTGTATGAAGACAGGCTGAGAAAGTTGGGGCTGTTCATCCTGGAGAAGAGAAGGCTGCGTGGAGACCTCCTAGCAGCCTTCCAGTATCTGAAGGGGGTCTATAGGGATGCTGGGGAGGGACTCTTCATTCGGGACTGTATTGATAGGACAAGGGGTAACGGGTTAAAACTAAAACAGGGGAAGTTTAGACTGGATCTAAGGAAGAAGTTCTTTCCTGTTAGGGTGGTGAGGCACTGGAATAGGTTGCCCAGAGAAGTTGTGAATGCTCCGTCCCTGTCAGTGTTCAAGACCAGGTTGGAAAAAGCCTTGGGTGATATGGTTTAGTGGGAGGTGTCTCTGCCCATGGCAGAGGGGGTTGGAACTTAATGATCTTAAGGTCTTTTCCAACCCTAACTATTCTATGATTCTATGATTCTATGACTTGAAATTAGTAATCACATATTTCCTATACAGGAGACTGGTTATCATAATCTAAAACAACAAGATACTCAGTATCTGATTTATTTCCCATTACACAGCAATACAGAGAATGGCTCAAGGCTTTTCAAGATATACAATGAAATATAAAATTCAGCAAGTAAGTATGTCTTAGAACAAAGTATATGACATCCATGGATAAAATTTATAAGCGTCAGGATCTGTCTCAGTACAGTAAGTTCAACATATGTGATACCACATTTGTACTTCCATTCCCTGTGCAAGACCAACGGAAATGTCTCCTAAAACATTGTTATTTTCAGAATATACTGCAGATACCACACATACAACAAGAAAAAAAAAAAATGGAAAAGAGACCTGTTCTCTAGAACCTTCATTGCAAAATGCAAAGCAGTTAATCCAGTGTTTGATATTTAAGAAGTAACGTTATATAGGGAAGGAAATAAAAATCTAGCCATTGTAGCATTCCCAGGCAATTTTAATTTGAGAATACAATTAGCATATTTACCCAATTTGTCACTTTTAAACAAGAAGACCAGAGAGCAGAGAGAACATAAGGACTTTAATGGTGTCACAGTGCCAGGATTCTAGATAAAAACATGTTTTGCGGCGTTACTGATGACTTTCCTATAGTCTATATCCACTGTGTTATTTAAACCTCTTATTCTTTACCTAGGCAATAAAAAGGCATCTGGTATATGAGGCAAGACAAAAGAGTACCAGCAACACAGACACAAAGAACTGCAAATGTCTATAGTCCTCACAAGCCCTTTGCCCATGGATCATGTTGGTTTGTTTTGGCTCTCAATTACAGAATTATTTCACTCTCCTTTAGAGAGCAAGACCGAAAACAAAGCGTATACAGTTAGAAAGGAAAAACTCCATATAGATGACCTTTAGAGGTCTGAGTAGATGATTTTTGTCTTCAGTGCTGCCTTTTAGCATGATCTTAGAAATATTCATACCTTAGTCCCATAAATCATTAGCCGATAGATAATATACTCATGTACACACATACCCATCCATGTGGCATCCAAGGCAACTGGATGAGCTCAGAATCAGTATCTGAATGCATGTAAAATGTATACATACAGTCACAGCCAGAAAGATTTTCTGTATGCTTAGCAACACAGTACAGTACATATCTAACAGGGAGAGAATGAACCATAACTTGTGTTATAAAGTCATTTTCTCATGCAGTCCTGATCAGAAAATTACAGGCAAAGAAAATAAAAGATTTTGGAAAGAAACAACCTCATGTAAATGACACTTCCTTGAACAGTTGGTGGGAAACAAATCTGCTTCAACCCTACAAATAAAATTAAGTGCATAAATAACTTTCTATGCACATATCAACATAATCAATAGGCAACACACTCCTAATTGCAACTGCCATTAAGATTTGTAGTGAAAGATAAGATCAGAGAGATAATTGCAATCAGAAAACTTACTGAGTAGAAATAAACTATAGTGGATTTAAAAAAATTATAAAAGAAATGTTCATCAGAAGTTTACTGTAGCATGAGAAGCCACCAAAACATGAGACCAAACTACACCTTCCTCTCTTTATCCCTCATCACTGCTTTTCTGAAGTGTGCAACTCAATTCATTTCCCCTTGTCGACTTTGTTTATAGAAACAAATATAGATCCAAACCTACCATGATCTTCAGATAGTGTCTCTGAAAGAGAAAGAACCCGCAAAAGACTCAGAAGTCTTTTTTATTCCATGCTACCATATCATCACCATATCACCACATCATGTCCTAGAGTATGCTTCCTTGCAACTTTTCAAAATTCTTTTTCTAATACACGACTTCCATATTCACTCTTTCCCTTTATTTTTGTTTTTGAAAGAGCTTTTCTCACTTCATAAGAATATCCCTGTTTCTTGTTTCTTTTCGTCATCTTTCCACCCAAACTCCCCAGTATTGATTCCCTGTGGTTTTGATACTTCTTCTATCTCTCCTTCCCATATGCCTCTCAGATTTATGCTTCCAGGTCCTAGCTGAAAAAGTTAAAACATGCTCCTACCCCTACCCAAAGTCACCTTTCCTTTGCTTTCCCCTTCCAGTATTTATCTTTCACTTCTGTGACTGAGTGTAGACTTGCGGTATTCTTAAAGTGTATTCTGCTATGGAAATCCATCATCATGGGTGAAAAAAAGAATAATGAAAGATCATAGAATCATAGAACGGATTGCGTTGGAAGGGATCTTGAAGATCATCTAGTTCAAACATCCCCTCGCCATGGGCAGGGACACCTTCCAGTTTGCTCAAAGTCCCATCCAACCTAGACTAAAATCTCAAGTATAATACTATTCCTAACTGATGGCCTGTGTTTGCCTGTCTGCATCATGTTCTCTAGCCTGATTTCATCATTTTGGTGAGTAAATAAATTGCCGTTTTTCTTCAGTCAGTCTCTCATCTTACTGCCAATTTTTTTTCTCTCTGTGGCTTTCTATCTCCTTTCTGCTCTAGAAAATACTACATTTTTTTCTGTAGTGGTCCTCATTTTATTCTGTCCCACCAAACTATAACCCACATCTCTAGTTTCCTGTATTTCAGAAATTAGAAGGTTGTTACTGGTGTTTTTTAATTCACTGATTTTCTTAATGGTCATTAATTTTTTCTTTAATTACTTCTCTTATCCTGTCCTTCACTAGGATGGCTATTGAAGGTTACAGAGGAAAAACAGTGATGGAAATGAACCTTTTCCAGTAGTCATCCTTTATGAACAGCAGGGAAAGCAAGCAGCCTTAAACTTCCTTTCCAGTCCTTTACAAATTCAGGTTTCCTCAGATTTCTCTTCTTGTGTAACAGCAATACAGGAAAACTATATTAAGTATATGGCTTAT